GGGGGACCTGAAGACAGTGCAGGTTAACTCTAGTCAATATAGCGGTGTCTATAAATGACTGTGTTGGATAAGGTTAGGCCTGTTTGCACTGCAGTGGGACACAGTTATCTGTTGCCATCTACATGCTAGTGAGGTGAGTGCGTGAAAACCAGCTGAAGTGTTTATTGCGCCTTAGTTTTACCAGACTCTGCTTATGCAAGTACATTGTTCCATCTGGTTTAACGCAGAACCGTGCATCGCTTTGCAGAGACCTCTGTGTGTGGCCTCGGATGCAATTCATAAGCCAAATTCCTTTGTTTGTGTATTTGCAGAGAGGGACAGAGGGGAAAATGACTTCCAGAAAAAGTGCCCTTGGTTATATGTGCAATTTGGAACAGTACCACACAAGCTGCATGCAAACATATCTGAAATGCCAGATATACATGTGATATATGCATGTTACATATATATATACACACACACATTATATGCATACATATATATATACAAACATGTTATTGACTACTTTGTGAGTAAAATTCACATAATGGAAAATGTTGTGGGGTTCTTGAAATGGCAGGCTTGAGGCACATGCTCATCTTAAAGAGCTCTTCAGTGCTTACTGAACATACTGTGTGCTTTATTCTTAAAAATATTTTTGCAAGAATATGATTTCCTCTATCACCCTCAGAATAATTGTCTGAGACTATATGGTTTGGTAAATGAAAAAGGGGATTTTTCAGCAACACTGACTTCTGAGGAAAATGATAATGCTAAAATGACTATTACAGTGAGATAATGAAATCTAGTCAGAGAACTATCTTGATTTATCTGTTACGGTTCTTGGGATGAGCTGACATTCTTGCCTCTGAGGAGAACAGTTTCAGTCGCCTCTGTTGAGGACTCCTTTGGACTTCATGGTTGGGTGTGTGAGTGAGAAACAGAATAGAAAGTTACTTGGCCTCTGCTTCTGGGTAACTTCCCTGTTCAGCTATAAAGCTGTCTTATAGATTAGTTATATTAAATTAGGGCCAGTGTATAATCAAAGAGGACAGACTGCAAAATGCTGAGCACTCTGAATTTTTAAATTATCCTGGTGACTCATTCCACTCACTAAAGTGTGCTCCCCTCAGTAAAGAGGGCAAAACACACCTAGAAACAGTGTTCTTTAGCATATATCATGTGCTTTGGCCAAAGTGTTTTGGCTAAAAACTTCTAAAACTGCTTTCTCTAAATTCCTTCCTGAAAGGTCATTTCACCTTTGTTCTTTTCTTCTGTAGTTTGAAGACAGTGAAGAAGACTTTGACTCCAGGTTTGATACAGATGATGAACTTTCCTACCGGAGGGATTCAGTCTACAGCTGTGTCAGCCTGCCCTACTTCCACAGTTTTCTGTATATGAAAGGTATTGGCTGAATCAGAATTGGATAAAGATAAAAAATATCTGGAAATGTTTAGTACACCTTGTGCTGTAATACCTGTAGAATTAAGGTATTTGCTAATTTTTCAACAGGCAACAGAAAAGTCTGGAGAGAGCTGCTCTAAACTTAAGTTACTTGCTGTGACCCGCACTTGGCAGTGTTTTTCTCCTCTGGAAACATTTTTGGTCTGCCTCTGTTTCATATGAAGTCTTTCCTGGCTCATAAACATTCGAGTATCCAGTACAAATACAGCAGATTAACCCCCAAAGTCATATTGTACCAAATTTTGAGGAAAGCGGCTTCCTGTCCCTGAAAACCTGTAACAAACCTCACATTAAGTTAAACGGTACAGGCAGTTATCATGACTCAGTTCTCTCTAGTATATTTTCAACTCTAAGTGTAAGCCTTTAGATTTTGTGGGTTTGAGTTTCCCTTTTACTAACCGTAAGTGTTTTAAAAAAAAGAGAGGGAAGGATTGAACGCTCTTAACTTTTCTTAGATTATCATTGAGATCTATTAAAAATAGTGTTGAATATCTGATTCTTGTTTTCAGTAAGACTGTCTCATAATTTAGGGATCTTTAGATTGCAAACAATAAGGTGGTCTTCAGAACGTGTGAAAATGAGAACTTTGTTTTCATGATTTGCAACAGAGACTTGGGTTAGTTGCAGCATTATTGATCAGCATCTTCCAGTCTTGGTTTGGAAACTGCTTTTGTTTTATGATAGAATTGTTTGTCTTAACTGCTTACAAACCAGCCTCTGTCTCTCTTGCCAGGTGGCTTAATAAACACATGGAAGCGACGCTGGTGTGTCCTGAAAGATGAGACCTTCCTGTGGTTTCGTTCCAAGCAGGAAGCACTTAAACAGGGTTGGCTTCACAAAAAGGGGGGTGGATCATCTACACTTTCCAGAAGGAACTGGAAGAGACGATGGTTTGTTCTCAGACAGTCCAGGTTGATGTACTTTGAAAATGACAGTGAAGAGAAGCTAAAGGGTGCCATTGATGTCCGAACAGCCAAGTAGGTTTTTATGTGTCATAGTTCCTCCTAAAGGCTTCTTGGGAGTTAATCTGGTGTCTTGTTGAATGCCTTGACATGAAACTGCGTGTGTGCAAGCATGTGCATATGTGTGACAAAGACCTTGAAAGTAAACGTTGCCTTTACTTGACTCTCTCTTAAGTCCATAGAGTGCCTGAAGTTAAACCAGTGTTGAATACTTGGGAAAAACTGCAGCTATAATGAACCCATCTGTGCTTTCCCTCAGACTAGAGGCCCTGCTTAGCCTGTAATCATCCCCAGGGCAGTTTAGGGCACATTGCCAAGTCTGTAGCTATAGGCAAACCTATAATGGGTGGAGTTAATAGGCCATGACCATATTCAAGTTAGCATGGGTCAGAGCTTGTATCTTCTGAATTCGCTTAGGATTTCTTTACATCTTTGAAGCAGTTGTGGCAGTTTGACAGAGAAGTGTTTAAAATGCATATATTCATTTCAAACTGTAGAATTAGTAAATGTAATTTAACAACTTAGGCCTCACTAGCAAAATGCCTTATGCCTTAAAATTATAAACTTCTTGGGGCAAGTATCAAAAAAGTTTTTTAAAAGATAGTACTTTTCCGTTTAAATAGTCCACTAGTACATTTTATGTGGATTATCTAAAAAACCTCAGAGCCTGCTACTGTTGATAGTCCAATTTCTGCATTAAAATGTGCCTAATCTGTCCTTCATGCTAGAGATGAGTAGGAATGCCTGTAATAGTTTCACTCTGCTCCTTGTAAACTGCAACTGTTTTATTTTGTTAATTGTACAGAGCATTTAACCTAAATTAAAGGTGTAGTTTAATTCAAGCAGAACAAAGTAAATATCTTCAGTGAGTATCTTGACTTGCTCTTGTAAAAGCAATAGGCAGCTGGCTGTCAAGTAAATCTCTGAAAAGACACTGAATGTTCCCACCACATTTTTTGTTTGTTTCAGCTGAATCTGATTGCCTCGTGATATAGCATTTGTTTAGTGCTTTTTTTTTCTAGTTAATTTAAATCTTCTTTGTTATCCATGCAGTTTCACTGACTAGCCTGGAGAATTTTTTGTTATTGTTGACTTATCTTTAAGTTCAACATGCAAAGATTCTTGAATTTAACTTCATCTGTAGATGAAATCAATGAGTATTTGTACGTAAAATTATTAGAAAGCTACTTGTTAATATGTTATGAGAAATAAGCAACAGTTTTTCTAGGTAACTAACATTCATGGAGCACATTCCTAACATGACATCTTACTTACTTAACTATACCATGTTAGAGACCTTATTCAAATAAAGTAAAACTTGGGCTGCTTCACTTAAAATTCACAACTGTGATGAACTCTGCAGACACTGTCATTGGGAAGAAGGAAGCAAATAAAATATGTGGAATGATACAATAGAAAATGTAGAACAAGGCTGATAGATGGAGCTTACAGACTTGGTATGTAGGAGAGAGATTTATGAGAACAGTCTAACTGAGAAGGGAGTGTAGATAATTAAGAAGGAAATAATATGCCTCAGACAAATATGGTAAAGCAGCAGAAGGAAAAACAAGGTGATTTTTTAAGCTTAGGCAAAATGTTAAATTCAAATAGAAAATTCCAAATTTAACACAATGCTTAGGTTACTTCTTCAAAGTCTTGTCCTTTATAGTTCCTGATTTTTAATATATCAGTATTTGGATGCCCAAAATATCAGAAAGATATTTTTCCAAAGATGAGTGCACAGCTTTTTCTGAAAATATTTTTTTTAAATTGTCTCCATTGACTCCTGCACAGAATTACTAATCAGGGGTTTTCTTTTTATTTTTTTTATTTACTTATTTACTTATTCTTTAAAAGCTTTTCTTTCACCACTCCAGTGAGTTCATAAATGAATCCATTTCTCATCTCTTTGCATCTTTCAAGTTTTGATAATACTTTTTCTTTAATTCTTATTAAAACACAGAATAGTCAACTAGGAATAGTGACATTTATAGCAGTATCAATATTTGTAATATGTGGGCAGAAAACTTCAATTGCATTTTGGTTAATTGATCCAGCTGTGCTTTCTGCAAATGAGCCTACTTAATGCTAATTGCTGGATTTTTAGGTGTCAGTAATTTATGAACCTGGCAGGGAAATGGCATTTTCAAAATACGTTGAAGATCTCTAACATGAAATCTTTCTGTTTGTCTTGTTTTCAGAGAGATTGTTGACAATACCGGCAAAGAAAATGGTATTGATCTAATAATGGGTGATAGAACCTATCATTTGATTGCTGAGTCTCCTGAGGATGCAAGGTATGAAAATAATATTTGGGTTTTCTTTTTTTAATCTCCACACCGTTCTAACTCATGCTGATCATTTTATTTGCCCATTATCACCAAGGAGCTAAGTTGTGGAAAATGCTTTCCTTTTAGCACACTTTTGAAAGGCCTGCTGAGAAAATAAACCTGTGGGAAGAGTCAAACTGCCAATGAAACTGTCTAGAACATGACTGTGTGTGATTTTCCCATTTGTTACTAGTAACTCTCTGATATACAGTGTGCCCAAGGGGGGACAATATCTGCCTTTCTTGGGCATTACCCTGCCTGCATAAAGGATTAATTCAATAATTAAGACCCTGTCATCTCTGAAATAGATGGTTTTTAGGCTTGGGATCTATCTTTTCAGAGAAATCTTTTCAGATAAAAGCTATAATGCGGTCACAGGATTTTAGAGTGAAAGCATGTTCATGAATGAGAAGAGGATGCAACATAGTATTGCCCTTTCTGCTGCCCTAAAAAGGGCCTTGCTTTTGTTCCTGAAGGATCCTTATCAAACTTCAGGGGAAAACTACAAGGCTAGTAGGTGAGGAGCAAGCCTAACTTGTCTGATAGGTTGCAGTGTCTTTAAAAAAAGCGAACTAACCCCAAACTCCTCACACCACAGTTTCTTTGAACACACTTGCTTCTCATTTATAAAATATTTATAGTGAACTCAGTAATCAAATATTATTATCCAGCAGTCTTGCTGCCTCAAGGCCAGATGGAGGATGTCAAAATTACCTGGGCTAGTTTTGCTCTACAGGCACAAAAGTTGCTTCATATTTCTATTTTGATTTAAATAGATACAATACTTTCCTGTATCACAGCATATAGTATGTAAATATAGCAGTGTTAACAATGTAGAATTGCTGCTCATTTTTAGACATCCCTGAAATTACACTTGAGATAAGTATGAACTTTCTAGCATTAAGATTCTTGTGTGATTGTGATTATGTTTAAAAGTGAAGAATCAGTTAAAGTTTTGTCCTTTCTGTTAAACTTCTATACAAGCCCTGATAAATGTTCCACAGCGACCAATAACAAATTACCAGACTTCTATGTTTGTTGTCATGGAGGTGTCTTATTTGTCCTAAGCATGGAGGAGTACATCCCTGTCATTGTGTATAGTACACAAAATACACATAATTAAGATAAAATGGTTTTTTACTGACTTGTTTCATGTTTTTGTTATTTGTTTGTTTTCACACTCACTCTGAAAAACTTTAACATGTCTTGGTGATGTGTAAGGGGTTGCAAATGGGCTTAAATCAAAGCCTCATAATCTGGCATTGTTAAAACTGAAGTACAAAAATATTGTACCATGTTGGGTTTTTTTTCTAGATTTACTACTGAAGCCATTTAGAATTATTTCTCTTTATAATTCATCTAAAGATTTTTTTAAAAAAAATTATTCTGCACTTGGACAGGGAAAGATCTGAGTTTGCCTTTCTATCAAGTGGAAAAGGAGAGAAATGTGAACATCAAAACAAACCAAAAAAAAAGGTTATTTTAATTATGGAAATCTATTTGAAGAAATAAGGTTTTAATGGGCACTCATTCTTGTGATTTTGCTTCCTTCAGACCCAAGTATTTCTCATATTCCTGGGTTTTAGAAAGTGAAGCAAACAAAGGAAAAAATCCCAAAGGCTGCATGAGCCTAGGAAAACTGTACTAGTTTTTAAAAGCTTGTAATAAACTATTTAATAACTAGCCATGCAGTGCTATGAAGTCTTTTTCCTTTTTATTTTTTAATTAAAAAAGTGGCTTTTAACTAGATTTGCAATTCATGATCCCCGAAGGAAACCTGAACTTAATCTGTTGAGAATCTTCTTGTACTTGAGGTTAGGGTTCTCTGCCCACTGATTCTGCTCTCTTGGTCTGATGCCCTCGCTCAGAGTGGTTTCCAGTGACCACTTGTTGTGTCAGGAGGCCTTTCAGCAAAGCCAGTGTCGTGCGCAGCCCATCTGTGGGTATCTCTAGAGTCCTAACAAAAGAGTTTTCTGGGAAAACAAGTCAGGTACATTTTCATCTTCTTTTCTACTGTCTCTGAATCTTTGTTTTTCTTCACATGTCGTGGTAATTCTAATGAAAACATAAACAGCAGTTCAGCATTATAGGCATGAATTCTGTGACTATGAGCACTCACAGAAAAGACACCTTTATATTTAAAGCTAGCAATTTTGCATTTGTTTCCTCGCTGGCAGTGGCAGGAACTCTCTGCAGAGAAGTGAGGAGGCAATTTGAAAGGCAAGGCTGTGCAGCCCTTTGAAAACTTGGCCCCAGGTAACTTTCATTAGAATGGCAAATTCGTATCTCAATGAATGGCATTCAGGAACCTGCTAAACAGGCCAAGCTCTGCCCTCAAATTCAGTGGGATTGCTCGGAGCAGTTGAACTTTATCATATACAAGTGCCAGGAGGGTAGAGATTTCCCAGAAGCAGAAGGTGTGGTTGGAATTAAAATGTGCAATTACTGCTGCACACTAGGTGTTGGAATACTAGAAACATGACTCCAAACTCCTGGTGAAAATGCAAGGCCACTGGAGTGGCACAGATTGACCCTGGGCCTTCTAATAGCTGGATGTAAAATGTAGAGGTAGTTGCTTGGGAGGCTTATTCTTTTTCCCCTCTTGTTTGGTCTTGTACGGAAGATTTGGTGGACTTTGCAGAAATATCGCCATGAGAAACTGTTGCTAGTCCCATCATCACTGCAGCCCCACTAAAGGCTTTGTGTGTCGCTTTGATGTTGTGGTTTCAGGATTAAATGATGTGTAGAATGTGTTACAGATGCTTCCTAATCATTCAGGTGTTTCAATGCGATTACTCTTTCTCTTTTTTTTTTTTTATTTTCTCAGTGAGCTCAATTTTTTTGCCAGCTTTTTGTCTTAAGGTAGAGGGTTACAACATGAATTTGAAGGGGAGATCTGAGGGGGCTTTTTAGTAGCTCAGGTCACTAGAAGTGACATAAAAACCTTGCTGCTTTCAGGCGTGTTGACAACAGGGATCTTAAGCAACTCCAGGAACCTGAAGAACCTGTCAGATCTCTGCAGAGCAAAGGTGACGAGAGGCTTGTGCCCAAGCAGCACCCCACTTACACTGCTGCCTTTCTCTCCACAGCCAGTGGTTTAGTGTGCTGAGCCAAGTGCACGCGTCCACCGAGCAGGAGATCCGCGAGATGCACGATGAGCAGGCAAATCCACAGAACGCCGTGGTAAGTCTGGACCTGAAGAAGAACTTTCCAAGCAAGTATTCTTAGAAAAGAAGGGACATCAACCTGATGGGTGACTCCTGTCAATCACAGCCTATATTTCCTTTAGGGCAGTGGTAGCTGTGACACTGACTGAAGGCTGCAAGCCGTGCCGTGTACATGCAGAAGGGCAGAGACAAGAATTCCTATTCCCTCTTTCATTTACCTTGACAAAAAGTCACAGTGATATTTATTTATTTATTTATCTTTCTGACTCAGTTCTCTGTCAAACTGCTCCTAATTGGAAGTCTTGCGAAGTTACAGTTAATGAGTAAATTACAAACCCAAGAGCAAAAAGTTGAGATTTTCCAGTCCTGCCTTCATCATACTATACAACATATACTGGGAATAGTGTGACAAATGTAAAACCTACTATCAAGCAAGGGAAATAAAAATTTCTGCTTCATAAATTTGAATGAATGTTTCATAAATTATGAATGACTTGATAAATTTGTTCTGAGAGGATGCTCTTTACAATGAATGGCACTTTCAGGTCAAAACTTGAAGCAGGTTTGCAAGCACAGAAAAACAAGAGCAATTTTTGAGCTGCCTCCAGCGTAACTAAATATAATCTCCTATCAGATCTGCTTATCTGAGTCTTTTACTTTTGCTCTCTGTAATTTTAGTGGTTAGGAAAAAGTAATGTTGAAATCTGCAGCTCATTTTGCTGCCACTCCTTTCACCTATCTCTTAGGTAGTGTACAGTGGGTAATTCCATAGTAAATGTCTTCCTCCTTTTCTTTTATGATATTTGTTTATAGGGTACCCTCGATGTAGGACTAATTGATTCTGTCTGTGCTGCTGACAATCCAGATAGGTAAGTCAGAACTGTTCTGGTAACTTCCTTTCTTCTTCTCCTCTCTCTAGACAAAATCTGATGCTTTACACATTAGACTCCATATTCTGCTAACCAACGCAGAAATGGTTTTCAACACATGGAAATGGTTTGGTTTTGCCTCCCTTTGGATAGTACCAAACACAATGTATTAAAATAGGAAAAGTGGGAATTTTGTACTTCTTCTGTGGGAGCTTCATTATCATCCCTAACATTGCTCCATATATGCACTGCTCAGCAATTTTGTTACTAAAGTGACCCAAAGGCAGAAGATGTCTTTTATTTATACAAGTAATGCTTGTATAAGAGAAGTTTTATTTTCTATTCCTTTAGCAACATGGTAGGCAGAAAAAAATCTTTTAACATTTTGCTGTTTATCTCCTTGTGCAGGAAGGGTATATTTCCTGTGGGATGGTGCACTAGATGAAACTTATTTCTTAAAATACAACCATGTGTGTGAGTGAGTGTTTTTATAACAAACATGACAATGGGGCATCAAAAATCTGGTCACAATATCTTAAGAGAGACAATGTAATCTGGGTCAAGGCTTTGACTGTAGTTACAGCACTACTGGCTATGAGGAATTATTTGTATTATAACAGTTCATTCTAGTCTTCTCATTGCAAATATGTGAAACAAGTGGTTTTAAGCAACTGCCTTCCCTTGGTTTACCAAGATCCAGATAATACAAGTAGTTGTGATTGTAACCCCAGGCTTCCTGAACACTACAACACAAAATGTGCAAATCCTTCTAAGTATTAAGTTAGACTTTTTTATTCTTAGAATCTTAAATGATCCTAAGATCCCTTAGTATTAAATGATTCCTTGGCATTAGGAAGCATCTGTAACAGCTTTACAGCTTTTCAGTGGGTGCTTCACTTAGTTCAGGCTGCAGATCCCTTTCCTTCAGCTTGTTCTTAAAAGACAGAGTTTTTCGGTTCACGTACCCCCCCATTTCCTTCTCCACCACTCTTCCTTGAATAGTTGGACACTTTCTCCATTGTACATGTGAGCAAAACTCTGATCACTCCTTGCACATCTTGTGGCAATGATGAGCACAACAGTAAATCTTTTTTCCTCCTCTTCTATAAAGGATATCCAAAGTCTACTGTTGCTTTTTATTATAATTTATTATTATTATTTATTATTACATCATTAGAGCTTACCTGCATGTTTCTTATCTGTTGCTTGGATTGCTGTAAACCTCCTCCCCTTCACTATGTGTTCTCATTCTATTTCCTAAGCATTTTATTAATGTTGTTTTTTATCTTTTTTTTAATTATTCTCAATCTGACTTTTTAATGGCATGTACTGTTTTTGGAGAATGGTAACTTATTTGGGTGGGCATCTCCCACCCCCTAAATATTTAGACAACTTCCATATTCTACCCTACGATTTCCTTGTTAGAGCTGTACAACTAAGGCCTACGCACTGCTTGTCCACAGAACAGCCTGGACTGAATTGCTCCTATTTGCTCTATCTGATACAGTTCTTAAAGGGTTTGAGTGATCCAGGATGAAAACACTGGTGGTAATAAAGGGTTAAAGCAAGTGGTTTGTGGACGGGAAAACCTGCCACTCTAATCCAGAGAGCTACCAACCCATTTCACTTGGGCCAGTGCTTCGTGCTCCAGTAAATCCTGACGGAGGGTTGGGCGAAAGCCAGACGCTCATTAAAAATAGATTGTAGTGTCTGCAAATTGAGGTGCACTGTATTCAAATAAAAGAATCTGTGTTCACATACTGCTTCATTATGGACCTCTGTAGTTGGTTTTCGTTAATGTAACTACTGGAGCAGACACTTTAAATAGATCTGACCCCAAAATACAGTTCTGATTCATATCCAGAGCTGATTACAGATTGAAGATTTTTTCTCACCGTGGTTTTATTTTCAGATAGGACAAACTGCAGTTTAATATAAACTTTCCCACCATTTGGAGCCCTAGCGTTCTGGTGTGAATCAAGCATTAAGTTTTCTCAAATGCCCAATATTTTTTTTAGGTTTAGTGGTGTTGAAATAAATGCTTTAGAGCTAGATGGTATCTGTCACAATAAAAAATGCAAACAGTGGAAACTGTTTATACTTACAGCAAGCGAGGTAAACAGTACGAACTCTTGTTGTAGAGTTTTTTTCAGTCTTTTCTTCAGTCTTTTTTTCAGTCTTTTTTCTATCATTTCTTTTTGCAGACCCAATTCATTTGTGATCATCACTGCTAACCGGGTTCTTCACTGTAATGCTGACACTCCTGAAGAGATGCATCACTGGATAACCCTACTGCAGAGGTCGAAGGGGGACACCAGAGTGGAGGGACAAGAATTCATTGTGAGAGGTAAGAACCGAGTGGAGTAATATTGGAGTAAGTTAGATCCATTTACCTAGAAAGAGATTGTTCCCAAGTTGCAATCTGTGAAACGTGCTAGCAGAGCATGGCAGTATTGTATTCTTACTTTGTATCGTGCAGTTTGCTCATAATTAAGTACATCTGAAATTACAGTCCCATGGTACTATGCAAGAAGTCACTGTAATGATCAGAAAAGCATTTTTGTAATCGGACAAAACAATTTTTCTGGGCAAACAACAGTGCCGATAATTTGCCACACAGATTTTATATAGTACTTTAAACATTCTAGTTTTTGAGAATTTTGCTCAAAGTTATTTAGGACGTGGGCTGAACACAGCATATTTTTGCTGTAAAAGGCAAACAAGTAACTTTTAGCAACTTAATTTTTTCCAACTCTGCAAAGTAAAGAAAGTGCAATTCAAATCAGTGCAATTCAAATTGTCTTTGACAGGATGGCTCCACAAAGAAGTGAAAAACAACCCAAAGATGTCTTCATTAAAGCTAAAGAAGCGCTGGTTTGTTCTGACACACAATTCTCTGGACTACTACAAGAGCTCGGAGAAGAACGCTTTGAAACTGGGGACACTGGTCCTGAACAGCCTCTGCTCTGTCGTCCCACCCGACGAAAAAATCTTCAAAGAGACAGGTATTTGTCTGTGTGTGATGGAGTACTCTTGCCTGCTGCCCTGTTTATGCCACAAACAGCGTATAAAGGTGTTTTAAATGGAGCGGTAAGGTGGCAGTTTGAACAAATCCTAAGTCATTGAGGCATAATGCAGGGACATGCTAGGCAAAAGGCAGCAGTAATAATGTATGCAGTAGTAAAACTTGTTCTTAGCAACTTTCAAGCTATCTCAGCCTGGCACTTGTGGTAAGGTAGCTTGAATGCTTATGCTCACACATCAAAGGCGTGGGAAAGGCATCTGGGCAGCACACTTTCCATACGTAACTTCGGGCAGAAGAGCTCTGAGGGCTGACACTGGCGGGGCAATGAGGATAAGAAGATGTAGAGCAAGCGTCCAGGTTGTGCTAACCTACATACTGCATCTGAGTCAGCTCTGTGGTACGTTTCCAAAACTTGTTTTCAGTTCTGATGTGGCTGTTTGCAAATGAGAAGTGACAGCCGACTGTCCTGCGTTACCTCATTGGGGTCACGGACGCTTCAAAGAGGTTTTTGATAGTGAAGGATTAATTAGATTTCATTTAGTTGGAGCTGCTTCATAAAAAAGGCCTCTACAGTGATGTGGAGAGATAAGATGAACTGCAGTGCGGCTGTTCTCATAGTTGCCACTTCCTTTGTGTGAAATTAATGACTATTCTATCGAACAGGTAATGTGTGCATTATATCTGCTTATGTATGTGCCACAGCTGCTGGAAGACTTATATATAAAACAAGACTATCTCATGTTGACTTGTTTCATATTGTCCATGAGTGCTGCATGCTGGTGGCTCTATTCTGACATTACCCTTCTGCCTTCATTCTCTCTTTTACAGGAGTAGTCTGTTTTTAGGATGGTTATTACTGGTACAACTTCTTAGTTCCTAAAAAAAAAGGTGCTAGAAGGTCCTGGAATAGAGCAGCCAAGGTCTGATGCAACTGTACCTGTTTTTAGCTAGGAAATGGGGTATTTTTATAGGTATACTTTTAAAATAAAGATTATTTTTGAAATAATTTTTGCTGTTGTGCTAGGCTACTGGAATGTAACTGTGTACGGACGCAAACACTGCTACCGTCTCTACACAAAGCTGCTTAATGAGGCCACGCGTTGGTCGAGCGCCATCCAGAACGTGATTGACACAAAAGCACCAATCGATACACCAACCCAGCAGCTTATCCAGGATATTAAGGTAGGAACAAACTGGAGCGGGGTGGGAAAAGAAGGGTTAGTTAGGTACTTGAAATCAGTCCTTTTTTTTAATGTTCCTTTTGCCAAGCAGAAAATGTGAGTTTTAATCACACCATGACAAGGACTGTTGTAGACTATCACATGGAGAATTGCAGAATATGAATGTAGTCATTCACCTACTACAGGAGTTGAAGCACTCTAAGAACAAAGTGATGTAACTTGAAGGGAAAGAAGGATAACTTTTCTGTCTTTCCTTGAAAGCAGTGATAAGCTTTATTGGCTCGTGTAATTTAACAGATGCCGCCATGCCAGGCAGTAGACTGCAGTGTGGAGGTTCGTGGGCCCATGGATGTGCCTGGCTGTGTCCACAGCAAGCAGCTTGCCAGGATGTGGACTAGCCAGATCCCCCAGCAAAAGCAGGGGAGAAGGAGTAAAATCAGCTGCTAACCTTTCTCCAAACTTGCTCCTCCCTCTTCCCCATGGAGAAGACGTATCAAATCCTACATTTCAAGGACATGAAACACATTCTTTAGCACAATAGAAAATATAAGGAAGTTTGGAAGAGGCAAGAGACATTTCTCACATAGATATGTGAGAGTCAAACTTGGACTAGGAACAGTGTTGAGCCATCAGTGGCAGAATGGGCACACCAAGTTTGCAGCAGCTGCTTTTCTAGACTGTTTTGTTGCGGTGATTCTGGAAAAGCTGGTTAGTAATGCTAGAGAAACATTTTTAAAGAAAACTTGAAGACAGATGTCTTGATATAATTCAGTTATGAAAGACTGGAATCAAAACAATTGCAGAATGAAAACACGTTTCAGAAAGTTTTATGGAAATGCATTTTCATCCCCTGCAGCTCTGTTGTGTTTTTGTTCTGCACAGATAAGGCAAGCTTTGCAAGGCCTGAGGTGAGCAGCCCCTGAGCATTCAGAGTGTGCAGAGTGCCAAGGAAGCCACAGTGCCCACAGCTGGATTTAGCACCAGATAGTGTTGTTAACACCAATGACTCATTTTTCTACAGCCAACTTACAGACACTAGGTGTTGTATTACTGCTAGGGCTGGACTCCAAGTTAAGCTTTTTTCTTTCCCGAACAGGAAAACTGCCTAAATGCTGAAGTGGTTGAACAGATTTACAAGAGAAACCCTATTCTCCGTTACACTCATCATCCATTGCACTCGCCATTGCTGCCATTGCCATATGGGGACATCAATCTAAATTGTAAGTCTGTAAGTTATTGAAAAAAACAGAGGCTGTTCTTCCTTCTCTGTGGTTGGTAAGGAAAGGAAGGTTGCTATTGCTGCTGTGAGGCAAGTTGGTTACCCTCACTCACAGCGTAGCTAAGCAGACCAAATTTGAGAAATAAGGAATGAAACCCATTTCATTTAGTGTCCTTGAACAATGTTTATCTATATAAGAAAGATTTAAATATACACAAATTGGAAAAGTAACAATGAGTTACTCCTGAGACAGGTATAATAGTGTTTAAAGCAAGGATGTTAAAAACACTAAGCCACAAATATGTTTTAAATGGTTCAGAGCTGGTTGTGGATATGGTGTCCTTAAATTAACATGCTTATATTGTTTTGAAACTGCTTACTAAACAAGGGATGGTTCAGATCAGAAATCCTGTCTTTGGGAGAGCAGTGGGGAGTCATGGGTGATTAAAGGCTCGAAGATGCTTCAGGAAACATTTCCCAGTAACTCAAATGATACGGTGCTGCTAACAGAACAAGGGAAAGGAAAATGCATAGAAGACACCTTTTCCTTATCTTCCCCATGCTCCTCCTGTGCAGTGGCAAGGCATGGTATTAATATTCTCTTTACTTGAGCTGCTTGTCCCGTGCACAAGTGCAGCAAAGATTGGATTTCATTAAATTGCAAACAAATCTTCATAGCTAAATAACTCATAAAACAAGTTTGTCTCATAAATATAAAATGGAAAAGATCCATCTACCATCCTGCATAAGAAGGGTCACAGAATTTCCATACACAATTTCTACATAAATCTTGAGTTAGTGCTTTCTCAGTGTAAACACTCTTTTTTTCTTTCTTCTTTAGTGCTGAAAGACAAGGGCTACACAACTCTGCAGGATGAAGCCATCAAGATATTCAATTCGTTACAGCAGCTGGAGTCTATGTCTGATCCCATCCCTATAATTCAAGGCATCCTCCAAACAGGGCATGATTTGCGACCTCTTCGAGATGAGCTCTACTGCCAGCTCATCAAGCAGACCAACAAAGTACCCAACCCTGGGAGCGTGGGGAACCTCTATAGTTGGCAGATACTCACCTGCATGAGCTGCACCTTCCTGCCCAGCCGCAGCATCCTCAGATACCTCAAGTTCCATCTCAAAAGGTGAGAAACTTTGAACTGCTGGAGCAAGATGAGAAGTTCCTTCACTGATGATTTCCCTCTTCCCCCTTCATTTAAGAATGTTTAGACATCTTGAGGAGAGACATTCATGAAAGTTGAATGAAAATGCATTCAACTGAGTGAATCAGAACCATAGTTTGGTTAGACCAAACTGTGAATCTTAAAAAAAAAAAAAAAAAAAAAAAAAAGTTGCTCAACTTTTGACAATTGAGCGTCAACTAGATTGTGGAGTTCCTCTTGCTGTAGTGCATCAGAAGGATGCAGAGTGTTTGTCAGTAGAAAAATATAGCCCATTAAAACAAACAAGTCTTGTCTGTATGTACAGTAATACACAGACTTGGTAAATCACCTTACTGAATTATTTGTAAAATGCTAGTACTGAAGCTATACCTTTAAACCAAAATAAATTTAGTGGAAAACATCAATTACTTAGCATCCAAGTGTGATAAATTAAAACAATCTAACATTGGTTCACTTTCTCGCTTTAACTCAATCCATAAAATAGCTCCCAATTAGAAAAACTGCAGTAATTAGAGTTCATTAAAGCTGTTACTGAATACTCCTAAGAGTAACTGCTGAACAGTACAGTCTAGAGAGGATCTGTAAGAAAACCAGGAATAGAAATCAAGCAACCCAAGTGACACTGCTGCAAAAGTGATTAATCAAATACCTGTTTTATTGTTTAGTTTCTGTATTACCTCAATGCAGTTTTGGCTTCATTCAGTGATTATTGACAAAAAAAAAAGGAGAGCTGATTACAGGAACATTATTCTGGCTGTCTTGCTGACAAATCTGAATCATAACAAGGCTTCTGTAGTTAATATAGGTTCCTATAAGCTTTTGCTTCCCATTAAGCTTCTAGAACAAAATGAATGTGGCATGTTAGTTATCTCACCGTAAAGGATCTTTAGGACAATTTCCTTGACAGTGAAGATTAATCTGTGATGTGCCAATTAAATAGCATACTGTTTAAAAGGATACAGAAATACCTTATCAATGATACAGAAATACCATTCTCAAACGAGTAACTTTTCTATTTCACACACTGACAATTTGGATTAATAATATTTGTCTCGCAGGGTTCGTGACCAGTTTCCAGGAACTGAAATGGAGAAATACGCACTTTTTACTCACGAGTCCCTCAAAAAAACCAAATGCAGAGAGTTTGTGCCATCCCGCGATGAAATAGAAGCTCTGATCAGCAGGCAGGAGATGACGTCCACAGTTTATTGTCATGGTGGTGGCTCCTGTAAGATCACCATCAACTCGCACACTACGGCCGGAGAGGTAAGAGGTGGGGACAAAATAGCTCTGGCACAAAATCAGTTGGCCTTTCTCCACATGTGATGGATGCAGGCAGTGGTGGTGTGGGACGGGACTCTGGAAACCCTGATGGTTTCTGATACCAGTGGAGGTCCCGTCGAGACGTCACCACCTCTCAGTGGAAGGGGAGCTTACGGATCCCCTCCTCCCCTCCCCTGTTACCACACGAAATCCCTGCTGTGGAAACTGCCTTTGCCAGCACAGGATTTACCCAGTGTAAGTCCTCTCTTACAGGGAGGAATTCTGGAAAGACCAAGCAATAGGGGCAGCGCTGACATAGCTTCAGTACCTGTGCCTGTGTGAGAGCCAAGCTGCTTGCTCAAGCTGCACAGGGGTTGTATTTGGCAGAGTAGTCACACACACACACACACACACACATTCTTGGAGAACCGGTAGTATTTAGGATAAAAAAAAAAAAAAAGTGTTTGAGAACAATGAATACAGCTGATAAGAACATTTAACAGCCTTTTTCACCTAATGTAAAATCCAGTTTTTAATTTTTTTCCCAAATATGTGCCTTAGCTCTGTGATACTACCTTTTCCTGCTGCTGTGAGTTTGCAGATGTGCTGTTTTTCTTTAGGTGGTTGAAAAGTTAATTCGTGGCTTGGCCATGGAGGATAGCAGAAATATGTTTGCTTTGTTTGAATACAATGGAACTACTAATAAAGCAATTGAAAGCAGAACCATTGTGGCTGACGTCTTGGCAAAGTTTGAAAAGTGAGTGTGCCTCTTTCACTCTGACGTATTTAGTAGCAACTAAATACATTTCCAGTGTTGAGAGTGCTGAATTTTCTTTTCCTATGCCTTTTTTATTTGTTGAATGACAACCCATGGGCATTTTTGGGGGGAGGAAAGAAAAACTTTTTTTTTTCTTAAAGGAATTAATGAGTTGTCTATTCATTTAGATTTGATATTCCTCAGGTTACATACTGGCAAGGTCATATTTCTTATCACAGTTTCCACATTTTGTTTACTACTGTTTCAGTGTTTTCCACCGTTGCCAGCACTGTGGCTGCCCCACTGCGGGAGAACTGGACTCCTGGCAGTCGTTGCCTTTCTGACCACCTACTGCCTAACTTCATATGGGCTTCACATGGGAGCTGCCACAGAACATTCCTCTAACCTCTGTTGGTGGAATTGAAACCATCCATAGTGCTGCAGCAAGAAAATGCAGTACAAGCCTAAATACCTGGTTGTCATCACTATGTCATACACATGGCAAGCAGCCTCCTTAATCCAAATAATGGGAAAACAACGTCTAAAATGCTGTGCAGTTACATATTTTAACTGAAACAAATGTCGTTTTTTAAACCTGACACCTGACCAACTGAGCCACAAAAAAAAAATTACAAGAGAATTTGATTTAGAAACACTTGAATGAGAAACTGAGTCACCACTTCTAATTCCTAGGTTTTGCTGTAGGCTGTTTAAAAGAAAGAAAGAAAAAGTCCAAATCACATCAGTAAAGTATACTAATGAAAGCAAGTATCTCCTGTCATCAATATCAGATTTATACAGGGTGTTACAAAGGGAAAAAACAGCCAGTGTTGTGCTTAGATTCCTCAGGTGTTAATTCAGAAAGGCTTTTGATTACAGAAATCTGATTCTTCTTTCTCTTGACAAACATGCAGGCTTGCTGCTTCTGCTGAAGCTGGGGAGATGCACTGGAAGTTTTATTTCAAGCTCTACTGCTTCCTGGACACGGAAAATGTCCCAAAAGACAGCGTGGAATTTGCCTTTATGTTTGAGCAGGTAAAAAACAGGTTTTGTTGCAAAGAGTTTTTAAGAAGAGGGAAAAAGGCAAGAGATTTAGGCAACACGGGAAGACTTTGCGTTATGTTTTTAACTAAAGATACTGCTCAGGCAGCAAATGCAAAGAAAGCAGTTTAATGGTCAAATAGATAAAGATAAATAAAGAGATAAATGTCAATATCCAAGATAAGTGAAGTGAACGTGATTTACATAGTGTTCTGACCCGTCTGCTTGTGCTCTACAATACTTTCGTCACCTGTGAATCTCTGTATGTTACTGTGGTGAGAGAAGGCAGCTAACTGCATCTAAGCTGGGTCTTTTATATCTGGAACGAGAGCAAACAGTAACACCTGCTTCTAGTTTTGAATCTATTGAATCTACTTACTTACCAAAGTGCAAGGAGTGAAGCAAAAATATGTAATTGCCAAGCAAACAGGGCCCATACTGGCAACTGCACAGAACTAATCAGACAGCAGCTTTTCTGTTTTCTATTCCATGCTGACTGGTGGTTAGCCAAATGTTTTGCATCGTGCCAAGACCGATAGGACTTCAGTTAGACAACATGGCACATTCAGTCATGCAGATTAATATCCCAGCACTATCTTAAGTTGGTAATTAATTACATTCTAACATCTTTTTTTTTTTAATTGCCTGTTGTTGCTGTCAGTCATTGATTCTTTTTCAGCAGATAATTTCAGAGTTCCCTTGAGTCTTCAGTTTTAGTTCTCTCTCATTATTTTAAAACCTGATTCATAAGATGCTAATTAAAGATCTTTTAGTTCCTCTTACTTATTAAGATCCCATCCTTCCATTTCTACAATACAGTCTTTCTTCTGTGTGTCTGCAATCCCAGTTAAACTGGCTTGCATGTCTGGGGGCAGATACTGTCTCCATCTTAACCATATGCCTAGATGAACTCGCTCTTACTTCCATGCAAATTATGACTATGCTTTTACTAAATGGCCTGCAGCTCCTGTATCTCCAGACATGAGACATGTTTGTTTCCAGTATTAGTTTCATATGGAAAAAAAAAATCCTAGATATTACCCTTTTCCAAAGGTTTGAATGAGTGAACAAAGAGGGAAACCAGGAATTGAAGGAGTTGTCTTACTTCAGAATCGGATCCCTGGTGTTCCAGACAACTTTGCCATATAAATATTCTCTTATTTTATCTAGATCGCTTTTAAGATTCGCTGCTTTCCCTCCATGGAGTTTATTAGTAGTCTATCCCAGGCTTTGCTCCTTTGGCCAGCAACTTTTTTTATTGTCACTGCCAGATTATTAATACCAATAATAACTAAGCCTATATGTCTATTTTTGCCTTATGTTCTTAAACTCCACGCCTTTAGCTGTCTCATTGAGTGTTTTAGGTCCTGATTTTATCCCCTTTACACTTTCTTTTCCTTCTTAGTAACACGGCTGGTTCTTACATATGACAGTTCTGTAGGACCTGTACTAGTAGCAGGAACTCACCGTTAGCAAGTTCCTCAAGTGCTCTGCAGCTCTTGTGAAAAATCTTGGTTTACTGACTCTAACATTTATTGTACTCTCTGTATTTAGTGGATCATTTATGACGAGTTTACATGATTTATGTGACAGTGAATCTACTTCCCATTTCTATTCTTGCCCTTTCGAAGACTGAGTCTGTACATACCAAGCTGCCTTTTTCCCCTCTGTAGGCTCATGAGGCAGTGATCAGAGGGCACTATCCTGCTCCAGAAGAAACGCTGCAGGTCCTTGCAGCTTTGCGTCTTCAGTATCTTCAGGGAGACTACACCCTGCATACCACCATACCAGAAATGGAGGAAGTCTACCCCTTGCAAAAGCTGAAGTCTCGGATTACTCAGTCCACCAAAACCTTCACTGCCGCAGAGAAGGCCGAGAAGAAACGTGCCAGCTTCCTCGAAGGGACGCTGCGGCGGAGCTTCCGCAGTGGCTCCATCAGCAAGCAGAAGGTCGAGGAGGATCAGATGTTAGACATGTGGGTCAAAGAGGAAGTCTCAGCTTCCAGGACTAGTATCATTGACAAGTGGAAAAAGCTGCAGAGGATGAACCAGGAGCAGGCTATGGCCAAGTATATGGCTTTGATTAAGGAATGGCCTGGCTATGGGTCAACATTGTTTGACGTAGAGGTAAGATTTTAACGCCCACAATACAGCTGACACTGCTGTAGTTGGTGGTGCCATTGGAGTAGTTTTCTAACTTAGATCACAGTGCTCAGAGAGCTGACGTAATTAAATGTTACCTTCTAAAATCATACTCCAGGTAGCATTCGCTGTAGTCATGTAATCCCATAAAATCCAGAGGAGCTGGATGCTGGCCTTGTAAGTTGAGGAGATGCATATAAGCTACACCCCAAGATGGGCAGTTAACATCCACTTTTTTCTTTTCTAATGCGTTCAGAAAAGGACTTGAACAGTAAGTGTTGTGCAACCCGCCCCATCCTGCGTGTTGTTAATTTACGTTCTTCCCCCTAGTGCAAAGAAGGGGGCTTTCCCCAAGAGCTGTGGCTTGGAGTCAGCGCTGACGCCGTCTCCGTCTATAAGCGAGGGGAAGGAAGACCTCTTGAAGTGTTTCAGTACGAGCACATCTTGTCCTTTGGGGCACCGCTTGCCAACACCTACAAGATTGTCGTGGATGAGAGAGAACTGCTTTTTGAGACGAGTGAGGTAAGAGGGAATTTTGTTAACAGTGATGTCATCCCGTGCTGATGGCAAGGCTACTTCTTAATTCAAGTAACAGCTGCAAATGCTACAAATCTATTCCAGACCCTTACAAAGGTAAAGTGAAGAGTATACGATGGGTAGAGGTTTGGAGTAGCTACATTTGCTTTAACATTAAAGGCTTGTGTTGAAAGCCCACCAGTTTTACATTGTTGTGTAAAGAAACCAGTCTTGAAAATAGTCTTAAAACCGCTGTTACCTTACTGAGGGCTTTGAGCTCTTGTCCTCTGCTTGCAGGTGGTCGACATTGCCAAGCTGATGAAAGCCTACATCAGCATGATCGTGAAAAAGCGCTACAGCACCTCCCGCTCCGTGAGCAGCCACGGCAGTCAGGGCAGCTGCAGGTGAAGGCAGGGCCAGCCCCACCGCGCTCGCCACAGGACTTTGCGCTGCTTGGCCTCCAGCTCTCCTGAGGAAACCCGTCCCCTTCGTTAACAACTGAACCGAGAACCTGACTTGCTACAGAAAATACCTTCAAACCTTGTTTTTGGAAGAGCACAGGCTGAGGGGTGGGAAGGAAATCGGCTGGAATAGTCACATACTAGAACTGTTGACTTGCTCAAAAATTCCAAAGCGTTGTTATCTTCAGTTTATGCAACAGATGCCTTAAGACTTGACCCACTGCAATACAAGCAGTAAAAAGTGCCTTACAACACTAAAACCAACCTGCATTAACCTAAAGTTGCTGATAAAAATCAAGATGTTTTTCCGATCACAACACTGCGAGCAAAGTTCATCCATTCTGCACTAACCTACCGGCCTGCATACTCTGGGAATGGGGGAGGGAACAAGAGGGAGGTTTATTTTTGGGGAGCTGCTGGCAGCCTTCCTTACAGATGCCAACATTTTATTTCCCCTTGCTTCCACGGACACGCACGCTGCTCGTGCGTATTTGAGCTGACAGGAAAATCTGAGTAATTTTATTCTGTATTTCACAAGTCTTTTGAAGCAAAGGGAATAAGTATGTGCAATGGTGTAAACAGTCTTTCTGTACATTTTAATAGTTCAGAGGTATAGTTGTTACAATTGTATGGTTACTTTATAGGCAATTTTATTAACAAGTAAATTCCGACGTTTTCATACACTGATTTACTATTGCAAATATGTATTACCCTATATGTAGCAGAAGTCTGCATTCTGTACCTGCTGTATTATTAAAAAAAAAAAAAAGATGTAGCTGAGAATATTTATAGACTGCCCTACTATGGAAATACAGATAACAATATCCCATGTCAGCTTAAGTTTTTAATATTAAACTTTTCTTTTAAAAAGACACTATTCTTGTAGACTTCTAGCTGGACTTGCCAACCCGAACTACCTGGAAAGGTCAGAGCCCTTCACAGCTTGCTAGTGGATACTCAGTTATCAGGCAGACTGCTTTATTGCAGAGTTCTCCTTTACCTGGTTGCCTAATGAAGGTTCCTGACACCTGTAAATAACTTCGGGGATATCAGCTAGTCAAAGGCTGATTTGAGACTTTGGTTTTTGTACAGAAATTCTGTAAGATAAAGCAGACCCAAGGTATCTTTTTGTCTACAGGAAAAAAAATACAAAAAAAAACCCTTACTGTATTAAAAAAACTAAGCCTTTAAGGAGTCGTGCCTACTTACTCAAAGTACAGCAATAAAGAAAATACATGTAATATGGCTTGTTTCTTGTTTGTACCGACTTGCACTTCCAGCCTAGAGCTAATACCTTTTGACTTTTCAGGAGCCAAGGCAGGAACATAGTGTGAACTGTATCTGCTTTTGCTTGGTGGCTTCATGTGCTTTATGTATCACAGAGCGATTGAGGTTGGAAGGGTCCTCTGGAAATCATCTAGTCCAACCCTCCTGCTCCAGCAGGGACACCCAGAGCACGGGGCACATGGTTGCAGCCAGGTTGGTTGGAAAATCTCTAAAGAAGGAGGCTCCACAGCCTCCCTGGGCAGCCTGTGCCAGGGCTCTGTCACCCTCACAGGAAGGAAGCTCATGTCCCTCCAGAGCTGCTCGTGCTGCAGTTTGTGCCCATTGCCTTTTGTCCCGTAGCTGGTCACCACTGAAGGGAGTCTGGCCCCATCCTCTTGACACCCTCCATTCAGGCATTTATACACATAGATAAGATCCTCTCAGCTTCTCTTCTTTAGGCTGATCAGCCTTTCCTCATAGGAGAGATTCTCCAGGCTCCTAGTCATCTATGTAGCCCTACATGAGGTCTCTCCGGTGGCTCCGTTTTCTTCTTGTCCAGGGGATCCCAGAACTGGACACAGATGTGGCCTCCTGAGCTGAGGGGGAAAGCACCTCCCTTGACATGATGGCAACACTCTTCCTAATGCACCCCAGGAGACCTTTGTGGCCACGGGGGCACATTGCTGGCTCACGGTCAACTTGACGTCCACCAGGATGCCCAGGTCCTTCCCTGCAGAGCTGCTCTCCAGAAGGTTAAGCTCTGCCTGTCCTGGTGCATGGGCTTATTCCTCCCCAGGCTCAGGTCCCTGAACTTGCCTTTGTTGAACTTCACGAGGCTCTTTTCTGAGCAGGTCTCCAGCCTCTCCGGGTCCCCTGAGTGGCAGCACAGCCCTGTGTGGGTATCAGCTGCTCCTCCCAGTTCTGACTCGTCGCACTGGGCTGAGGCTGCGCTCTGTGCCCTTGTGCAGGTCACTGATGAGGAAGTAGAACCAGACTGGACCTGGCACTGACTGCTAGGGGTACCGCTAGCTACAGGCCTCCCAACTGGACTGCACCACCGATCACCACCCTCTGAGCTCTGTCATTCAGCCAGTTCTCATCCCACCCCGCTGTCCACTCATCTAACCCACACGTCCTGACCTTGCCCATGAGGATGTTATGGAAGACAGAAGGTGTTGAAAGCCTTGCTGAGGTCAAGGTAGACAACATCCACTGATGACCCCTCACCTACCCATCCACTCATTCCATCATAGAAGGATCTCATATTCATTAGGCACGATTTTCCCTTGCGGAATCCATGCTGGTGCTGTAGTAATGGGTAAGTTTCCATCTGCAATTGGAATGCTCTGCTTGTGTTACATGACAGTAACACCAGGCCAGTGGATGGGAAGAACTGCTGAGTTCCCACAGGCAACTTGTAAGCAAAGCTTCTGCTATTTGTGCAGACCTGAGTTAGTACTGATTGCCTCTGCCAGCCATCTACAGCATATGCTGCCCTCCTAAGTGCATATCATCTTCATGGGCACACCACTTAGAATGAATAATGCTTCTGGCAAATACTCGGATTCATTCATACTGTGAAACTGCCCCTCAGTCCCTAGGGCTCTCTAAGAACGTTGTTAGTAATTTTTTTCCACATTTCATGTTTTTCCATCCTATCCGAAGGTGAACTTCTTCAAGGAAAGAAAAGACACAGAATTACTTTGTAACTCCAATATATATTATATATACATACAGTAGCTGTGAGCATAGCAATTTAGATTTTTTCTATATACAAGTTGCTTAGAAAGAGCTTGATTGTTTTTAGCACGGCATCCTTGGAATGACGCTCTGCACCCATTCACATCAATGCAGCAAAGGTGAGTTCTATCAAGCGCTGTTCATAAACGTGTCCCTGCCACAAAGTCATCATCCATTTGTCCAAAAATAGGAGCATTGGGTGACCGTCTGCTTCAAGGTCACAGCCTCCCAAGTTTGAGGCCAAGTCTCCAGCCCCCTTTCTCTCACTCATAATTAACCTGTGAGTGACATTAGGAGCACAGAACAGCCTGCATCTATATCCAAGAGTTTCTCTTCCTTCATGCCCATTCTGCCAACCTGCCTCACCTCATTTCAATTGCTGCTGTTAAGGTAAACAAAAGTTTTCCTAATTGCCGATACTCACAAGGAAGAATGCACCACGTGCCAAAATTAGTATTTTCTAACATGCAACCCTGCGTTTAGACACGAGCGCAATGTCCCCGAAATGATAAAGTATTTCAGCAGCGTTGGCAGAGGGGGTGTCCGCGTGCAGCCCTGCCCGCGCTGTTCTCGCCCTGCCAGTGCCGCTGCAGCCAGCTCGGTGAGCGGCACCCGGCACCCCGGCGGCGCTGGGGCTCAGCGCGGCGGCCACAACACGGCGCCCGCTCTCTCCGCTCCGACGGCCCCCGCAGCTCCAGTGCAGCCAAACCCCCCAGGAACAACCGTCCCGATGGCACCTGGGCACATATAACCGGGGAGCCCTCCGGGCAGACGTGCTCTGTGGGCAGAAACTGCTCCCCCGAGGCTGGCAATGGGCCCGGGGAGGCTGCAGAACAACGCGGCAGCTGCAGGGGAAATACGGTTGCGCAGCATCTTATCCCAGTCCCTTAAAAGCTGGCTGTGCCCCAGCTCCGTTCCTGTCCTCGGGCTGCAGCCCAGCACACGCGTTCCCTGCGCCTCATGCTGTAAGTGGATTCATTTGTAGGGCTGCCAGAATTCCCAATATGCTGGATTATACAAGTTATGCACAGGAAATTGCCTCACCCATGAGGTGTTGCATCAGGCCCTCGGCTTCAAGCCCCACATAGAGTTATAACAGGTACACACAGGTTTAGCCCAGCACGGCCCCCTTCCAGAAACGCTCCAGAAGAGCAAATCCTGCGCACTGCCATCCAGGCGGAACAAGGACAACTTTAGACACAGGTAGACCCTAGTAATGTAAATTCCAGACCTGGATCTTTAGCTACAGCTGCAGCTAGCACAACAGTACTTGGCCACACATGTGAGACTACAGCAGGCAGATCATAACTGCACAGTGTCCTGAACACCTTACCCTGGCTTGTACAACAGTGCTAATACTCTTACCTACTACAAGTCCTTCACCTCCATTTTATAATCTCACTAGTCCTATTCACAGTGACATCCCTTTCATTCTTCACGGGAATTCTAGACCAATAAGGATGACACAAGAGGGCAAACACAAATAAAATAAAGTCTCATCAACTGATTAGACTTAAGTTCACAGCAAAAATTCTTAAGATGATTTCCCAAGTATATGACTTTCCAGTCTGCATTGTTACATTTCATTTCTCTTACTGCTGTATATAAAAGTATCCAATTTTATAATTATCCTACCTAATTTGACTTTGTCCATATGAAAACACTTGTGTTATAGTCAGGTGACTAATGAAAACATCCAAAAAGGATGTTTAATACAATTAATTTTAATAATTTGTATTAGGATGCCTAAAAATTCTCCCTTTATCAACTCCTCAGCCATCTTGTTTTAGTAAGACCTGCCATCTTCTGTATCTTAAACCAGCAATTCCTGACCTGTTCAGATCCCATTCCCTGTTTAACCTGGGCTTTGGGAGGACATTGCCCTAATTCTTTTTCTTTGCATGCTCCCAGGGAATATTTCCCCACCCTCGCCACTACAAAGCTTAGCCACTTTCATCCCAGTACATTGCCCCAATTTGGGTTTCTCTTGATAGACCTGATCCACCATATACTCTTTATCTAAAGACATAACGACCACCAATCTAATGCATACAATTACTTTTGCATCCCCACTGTTTAAGACATTTGTTTGACCACAGTACTAATGCAGTGACTTAGTTCACTCTCCCTACAAATAAAAGGTATGAATTTGATCATCGCCAATGATTTTGATTCTTTTTGCTAACGACCACTTCCACAAAAACAACAACAAAAAAATGTACCTGATTCATAAATTCTAAACAATTTCTGGGTTTAGAAAGGCACCTAGCTGCTTGGCTTACTCTCAGGCAAAGCTGACCCAAGAGTGGAGTTAAACCAATAAAGTCACAGATTATCTACCACACATATCCAAACAGGTAATGCTATATAAGAGATTACAGTAATGAGGTCTAGAATTAGATCCACTAAAATCTACTCATCTTGCTAATCATTCACATGGCATGACTAAACAGGCAAGAGCAGGAACACATCACATTTTTGGTTTTGAAAAATGCCTATAAATTTTCACATAAATATTTCATATCACATCACCATTACAGATTTTTTTGGAATAAATATACACAGTGTGAGTGGTCTGTTAACATGGCTTAGCCATGGATGTTCAGCCTGTCAGCATATATTTTCTTCTGCAAATTCCTTTGTCTCATATCCTAGGAAATTGCATTGGAGATACCTTGATTTCTTTTTTAAAGTGGATCTGTCTTTATTATCCAAGCAACGAAAATGTAGCTGAAAATGCAGGAAGGCATTTTGTCATCTAGCTCAATTCTATACTACCTAGATTCAGAGAACAACAATAACAATTTGAGATAAAAAAAAAAAAAACACATTAACCACACAAAAAGAAATACCCAATGAAGTTGGGTTTTACTGCTACAGCTTTAAGTTCACAGGCATTGAAAAGAAGCAGAATCTAACATGATAGAAAACACAGCTACTAACATTTCTGGATAAGAAACAATATCAATGTCCCTGCAGTTTCAACAGGGAGCTTAGAGATGCTGCAAACTATTCAATTTTCTATGATATTGTTTTGAATAGTCCACAACTGAAATATTTCTAGTTATCATATTTAG